AAGTAAAAATTATGTTTCCTGAAAACAGTGGGATCTTAAGTGAACTCGGATTATAAGCAGTGGGATCTTAAGTGGATACTACTTAATTACCCCCTTCAACAGCAAATTGTCTTTTTAAGATTGAAGAATTATAATGAACACCAGGACCAGAACTGGAATATACTTTCAGTTTGTATGCATCCCTCCTCTTTTGTTTATTTTGTGGTCAATTTATTTTTGTATGATCTGGTGTCTGTTGAAACTTGAAAGAATAAAGATGGTAACTAGCTAAAGGATTTGTTAGATTAATGTCGTATCATTTCAGATGTATCTCTATTATCTTGAAAACTAACTGTCTCTTTTCATATATTTCTTTCCATCAGAGCTCAATGCAGAGAGAGGATGAAGAAATACAGGTTCAATGATCCATCGAAGCAGACAACCCTCCAAAGGTACAGGCCTTACATTCTCCTTTTTCTTGGCTGGAACCTAATCGGAGTTTTAGGTTGGAAATTTGCAACATTTCAAGCTAAAGATAATGATCCAACTTGGGATTCTAAGTCAGAAGGTAAGCATAGGAAATATTTTATGATGTGCTTTAACATGATATGACAGATCTATAATAGGCCTACTCATTCAGGGATGTTCTGGTATGGTTTGCTTTTCCTTTCAAACATCTATCGCATCCTGATCTCTCCTCCTTTTTTTGTGTTTGCTACTCTTTTGTAACATCTCTAATCTTCAGCACCAAGGCCTATATATGTGGTGTAAGTGCCGTAAAACTCTTATTAAAAAACAACCAAAACAAAGAGAGGTTTCCTATCTTACAGAATACAGGGCAGTAAGCTACCGTGCCTGGAAAGTTTTGTTGTGTTTCAGTTGCATTTGATAGATTGTTTTACCAAATTATAGACCTGGTGTTGTTCTTTTTTAACAACAAAAGGGGTTAAGCCGATAGTGTTATAGTTATAGTGCTGTGTATTTTGTAGAGATCTATCATCACCCTATAAGTTTGGCTGAATTGAGATGGCTAATTAAAAGTAACTTGACCTTTGTCATAAATAACAGCTGAATAGCGATAAAACTGGGAACCGGTTTGGGTTTCATCTTGTTTTGAGTTTTTCTAAAATCAAGTACAGTCGAACCTGCCATGACAGCCACTGTATAATACAGCCACCTGTACAAACAGCCACTTTTCTCTTCTCACCTTCCATTTGTTCGATATATATATAATTTCACTGTGTAGAACAGGCATCTGTCCGCCGCGGCGGCCTTATTTTACCAAGGAACTAACAAAATGACCTGTCTGAGACGGCCGCCCAAATCTCTCATCGCTTGATACTTTATCAAAAATTATGTTGTGGCCCCTCACACTGTGGACAAGCCTTCATAATCCTGTACCTGTCACTTTTGTTTGTCCCTCCAATGTCCAAACATGTTAGGTAAATTCCACCCACTTCTGTTTACCCAAGTTGACCACCTGCTGGTGAGGGAAGCCTGTAGTCTGTCATCACCCAGGGCTACCCATCATTACGAATTTTGGCGGAATTGTCATGATTTTTATTCAGTTTTATGAAAATATGGTCATAATAGGCCTACCCCTGATTCCAATTTTTACAAATTTCGACTATCCCAACTCACTGCCTACCTTCCCGTTGTGTAAAAGTAGAAAAACTACCAGACCCGGACAGTCTATGACACTATGTCACTTGCAGATGTCTAACATTAGCATCCTTTGCCTTGAGCTTTTGTACTCGCTCAGTGCCACTTTTTCCTTAGAAATACATTAGACTAAAGAAGTGCTAAATCCAGGAGTAAGGTAAACATTAGGTTGACCAGGTGTTCACACATTCCTGTCTTTTTATGCTGTGTGTGACAGCCAAGGCCAGTCAGAGATTTGTTTTTAATGGATCATTACTTGAAACTTAATACAGTGGAATCCTGTTATAACGAGAGGGAGGGGACCGGAGCAAAATGTCCGTAATAGCAGGATTCTCGCTATAAGGGATCCAGTAATAAATTCAAGGGAAACTATAAAGTAGGCCTAATCTATGAGTTTGATGTTTGATGAGAGGAAGTTTATTTCTTTTTGCTATCTCCTCTGATGATGATTTTGTTTCAACATGACCTCTAGGTCTTACTTGATCAAAAATCGAATCAGGTTTCTTTCTCTAGCGCTAGATCTAGCGATGTGGACTGACAGCTTGGCGTTGACGATCAGAAAGAAAGGGCTCTGGGCTAACTCGCCCGCTGTGTTTTCCCCAACCCCACCCTGTGGTGCATTCCGTCTGCTTGCGCACGTCACACATTTGCTCCATCCATCACATTGCTGTGACCTCTCCATCCCCGTATCGGAGAAGTGAGAGGCATGGTAGGCCTTGATAATTTAAACTAGGCTTACACTGGCCTATCACGCGATGCG